TGAGTAACCCAGAAGTAGATCCTCCACTAGCGTTCCTCCGGCGAATGTCTTCACCCAAAACACTATCCCGTATCCGATCAAACTTCAAGTTTCCTGTTCCAGCAGTTTCAGTAACCGTTGTCACAAATCCCGACCAACTATCAGGCAAGGAAGATAACAGAATCACAGCCTGAGTGTCATCATCGAACTTCATGCCTACTGATGACAACCTCGACAAGATCGAATTGACCTCATTAATGTGATCAGCAACTGGGCTGCCCTCGTTCATTCTCATCATGAACAATTCCCTCATCAAGAACACTCTATTACCGGCCGATGGTTTCTCATACATATTTGACAGAGCTGTTAACATACCACGAGCAGTTGTTTCCTTCATGATATTAAACGCCACACTCCTCGTCAAAGCTAGTGTAATTTTACCTCTTGCCTTTTTGTCCTTTGAGTCCCAAATTACTTCAGCAGCCTTATCCATTCCATCCGGTTTCTCTTCCAGTACCATGTCCAAATCGCACTCACCAAGCAACGCCTCTATTTGCATTTTCCACCATGCAAAATCAGTTCCGTTGAACTTCTCGATTCGAACCCTCCCTTCCTCGGCCATTGCAAAACGAGAGAAAAAAAACCAGAGAAAAAATCAAGGAATAACGGCCTGAAACCAAGCAACCTCCAAAAGAAAACAAACCCTAAAACAAAGAACCCGAACCAACGAGTACCAGGTCCAAAACCAGAAACCCTAATCGCCAAGTTCACCTAAAACCGTCCGAACAGCCCCTGACCAGATCTGAACCAGCCTCTGATCAGATCCGAACCAGCCCCTGATCAGATCTGAACCAGCCCCTTAACCGCGGCAGCAAAACAGCAGCAAAAACGATCCTGAACAGCCTTCTTCCTGCGATTGATCCTGTGTAACCGTGTGTTTAACCGAACCAAAGGCTCTGATACCACTTGTTAGTAATCAGAGATCAGAGGCGGTCAAGCGGAAGCGAACAAACACACACACACACAAATAGCAGAAAATAAGAACACGAGATTTAACGTGGTTCGGTGATATATCTAGGCCCGACCCTATCATACCCTCCACCATATCCCACACCCTCATGGAAAACAAAAGGACTTAGGTTCAAACATTATGATCCATTTTAGTGAGAATTCAAAGTCCGTTAGCCCGAAAGGCCAAAATAACTTTCGTTTTGACCTAAGGGTTCCGCTAGCCAACCCCCACTCCGTCCAACCCAACCCTAAACATCCAAATATATTTCATTTCCTTTTGATATCCAAAATAAAGTCTCTTCTATCTATTTTAATCCCTGGTCACAATAGGAAACCAAAACAGCCCCATTCATCTTCCAACATCCACCCAACATGGTCCCTACTATGTTCCCTAGTACAACCCACTAAACAACCATAAAATTCCAGGAGAAACATGGTACTTTCTTAACCCTTTAACCACCAAATAAATCCTCATAAATGCAGCCAAAGTACCACACATTATCCTTTCCCTTTGTCCCCCCTAGTTGGCTGAACACATCCCCCCCAAATCAGCCCAAAAGAATGCTATCCATTCCCCTTGGTTTGCCTTTCATTGGAGACCCTACAACCACACCCATCCCTGATTTTATTCCAATAAAAGGACCTAAAACATGGCTGATATTTCAAGGCTTTGAGAGAGGATGTTGCTAGGAAGTTTCCTTATGTCTACATTCAATGTATTGTGTATTTCTTC